GGCCCGCCAGCCCCGGACGCCAAGAGTCGCTTTGGAACCGCGCCGGCCCTCGGGGAAACCCCGCGGCCGTCGTGAGCATGCGCTGGCGCCCTGCGTGAGGCCGGAAGTGATGTGGGTGCGCATGCGCTGACCCTCCTGGGCCCTGCGTTCCGCGGCTGTGGCGGTCAACTAGCGTCGTCCTCCAGGGCCTCGGCCCCTGCGGGTGGTGCGGGCATAAGGACCCGAGTTGGATCCCCGGCACACACACACACAAAAAAAAAAGAAACAATGAATAATTATTCAACCAAGTGTATTTGTTTATTGGCGCCGGGATCAAGGAAAAGTCTCGTGTGCTAGGCTCTACCAGTGAGCATTTGTTAGAACAAGTTTTCTCCACTAGATTAAGGCTTTTAATTTACATTTAACTGCTCAAAATGTATTTAGAATATAAAAGCATATATCAACTCTCAAAGAACGAAGTATTGTAAGGGTACGAAATATTTGTATCATAACAGTTATTTTAAAATATTTTCGGTTTGGGGATTTAGCTCAATGGTTCCACTGCCTGCCTCACAAGTACAAGGACCTGAGTTCAATCCCTGGTACCCCCAAAAAATAATAAAATAAAATATTTTCAATGTATTCAACAATAGGTAAGATGCATGTCAGATGCTATTTATTCCCAATAGGTAAATTTATAGATAGATGAGATAATCTGTTTTGAAGGGGGTGGACCAAGAGCAATGTAAAACTAAAGGGTGGATTGTTCTGCTCAGACTGGTGCTGAAAAGAGTAAAGATGGTGAGAGTCAGAGGAGAGAATGCTTCTGAAAGAGCAAGTTCTGAGCCAGACCCGGATCATGAAGTGAAATGAGAACCCACAGAAAGAAAGCATGACAAAGGCAGAGAGGTGGTGAAAACAGCCCACTTAACTCAAGGACCCAGTCCAGTGGCAGAGAAATAAAAACAAGTCACAGTGACTTGTGAAGGAATATGACGGCAGTGTTATTAACAATACACAGGCCGGAAGTGACCTCATCTTCATCACCCGATGCATGGACAAGCGGTACAGACTCCAGTGGAGATCGCTCAACAGAAAGAAGTGAGTCGCTGATGCATGCTACGATACATGTGAACCCAGAAAACATCATGCTCAGTGACAGAACTCGGCCATAAAGGACTAAATGTTGTGTCACTGTGTATGATGTCCTAGAACAGGGAAATTACAGAGAGATTGGTGGTTTCCTAGGACTGGGTTAATGTGATGAAAACGTTCTAAAGTCAGCTGTGGTGATTGATGGTTATCTGAGTAAACAAAGACACCAAGTTTTACAATTTAAACTGTAGGTCCCTTATCAATAAAGTTGCGTTTAATAAAATTCAGTGGCCAACTGTAGCCATTCTTAATTCTCTTTTTGGACATAAACACTGTACATGACCTGAGCATCTCTATATTAGAGAGAGAGAGAGAGAGAGAGAGATAGAGAAAGTTTTGCTTTGTAGTTCAGGATGCCTTTGAACTCGCTGTGTAGGTTTGGCTGGCCCTGAACTCACAGCAATCCTCCTGCTTCAACCTGATGAGTTCTGGATTACAGGCATGGGCCACCATGCCCAGCTAAAAAAATGCTTTAGAAATGAACCTAAACCACTTTTATTTTGGAGAAAATGAAAATGGGCTTTCTGTGCACGTTATAATGAAATCTATGAAACAAATACCAGAGATTGGAGCTGAGCCTGTGGCTCTGTGCTGCAGTGGATCACTTCAAACCCGCTTTTCTGCTTCTCCCACAGCCTGTGCCACAGCTTGGTTCAGACAGGGACCCCTGGCCCTGGGCCGGTACCCTTTCTCATCCTTACCACTCCCTGTGCTGTCTCTGGCACACACAGCAGCCTCATCCTCTTACCTCTCTTAAAAACCAGCCTCTGGCTCTGGGATGCAGGAGATTTCTGTTTGGCCAGTGTCTCTCTGGCCCACGCTCAACCTCTGGCCTGCAGGCTCATTCCAAGCAGAAACTTGGCTTTAGATATTCCAAAGCTGTGCATGATATGTTCAGTAAGGAACTCTCTTTAACTTTCTTGATCTCTTCTTGACAATACTTCCTGAGATAAACATCAGCATTCGAGGAGGGAGGAGTTGGGGGCTATAGCGTGGAGATCTCGCTGAGGATGGGAAAGTGGTTCTCTGATGTCCACTTGGGGCCCAGATGTGGATGTCAGAGTCCTGCTGCAGATGAGGCCTGAGGACAGGGGCTCTGTACTGGAGACCCTGCAGTAGGCTCCAGTCTCCTGGCCAGTGTACGATGCAGAGTTGAAGAGAGACTCAAAGACAGAGTTAAAGAAACAGAAATGAGGATCCAGGAGGGCCAGTGTTGAGCAACCAGCAAAGGCCCTAGTCAGTCCAAGCCCCTGGTTTTCAGTGGTAATCAGACTGGGGTAAAGGGGAACTACGTGTGAGGACATAGTTGTGCAGTTGCTATGGATACTAATGCAGACAATGCTTGTAAAGGAAAAGATGAAGCATTCTCGAATTAGAAACAGAACAAAATATAAAGTTGTAGCTAGCAAAACAGTCTTGTCCTTCTAATTAAGAAGGTTTTAGTTGTGGGAACAGAATTTGTCTGTGAGTTACTCTGACCTCAGCATGTAGGCTTCAGCCCGACTCACTTCTCAAGCAGTTGTGGGGTTCACTCTTTCCAGCCTGTCCTGCTCACAGCCTGCTTTGGGTATAATCAATCAGAGGGTCCCACATTCTGATTAAGAGGCATGTGAACTCCGCTTCCTTCTCAGGAAAGGTCCCAAGAGTTTTCTCCAGTTGTGAGCAAAAGACCATTATCCTAACTGTCAGACTGCCCACAACAGTATTTTGTTCTCATTTATGACAATAATCCAAGGGCCCCAATGCACATCGACTGCTTTTAATTCACTTTTATTCTGGGTCCATTTTAATTGTTAATGTTATATTTCTTAAACCAAATATATATCAGAAAAAAATACAGTGGATTTGTCACTAATGATTCTAATAGTGATCTACATGGATTAATTTTAGCCCAACAAAGGCAACTAAATCCCTTGCATTTTACGAAGCAGTGTTGAAGAGAAGGATACAATATGGGCCAATTTGCATAACTATATCTGTAAACATGATTAGCCCAATAAGTCCTATGAGAGACTCTCATGAGAATACGATTTTTTTACAGGGCAGATAGCATCTTTTAGATTCCAAATTCTAACTTCTAAAGTCCACTTCCATTTCTAAGAGATTAATATAAAATAGAGACCATATTCTGATAAGTTGATAGGAACCATCTGTCTTGGAACCCTGGACCTTTTGTGACATATCCTACGCAGCAGAGCTGTAAACGCATACACAGCAGAGGCCTGGCACCCAGGGTCACAGCACAATGGACACAGGGCCACCCACAGCTGCCCAACACTCTGTGGACTCCTGAGAGGGAAAGACTGGTTCACAGATAGGAACTTGGAATCCAGACTTCTGCAGGAGTCTCCTGAGGCTGCAGTGTGAGCCCATCTTTGGAGGCAGAAGTAGACAGAGCTACAGGCCACCTGGAGTCTGTAGCCCTTGCTACACAGCCTTTGCTGTGTGTATTTTCCAAATGGTTGTGTACAAAGCAAGTGTTTGCATGTGAAAAAATAATTATTTTGTGACAGGGTCTTGCTCTGTAGTTTGGGCTGGCCTTGAACTCACTATTAGCCCAGGCTGGCCTTGAACTGATGATGATCCTACTGCCTCAGCCTCAGAGTGCTGGGATTACAGCCTTGCACCACCACCACAATGAACTGTAAAAGTTTCTTAATACACAAGATAAATGGTGATCACACAACTCGTGTATTAAGCAATGTTATATACATCAGGCCTCTGGCAGTTCTAGCCATGCACTGGTATTCAAATAAATTAGTTATTAAAACTACTGGGGGTAAACAGGGCTGAATAACAACACTGCCACCAAAAAAAGTTAAAAAAAAGAAATTATTTTCAGGTAAATTTAAGCTAACGACAACTTAGAATTCAAAGTAATAAGTATGGCTCATTTTATTCAATATTTAGATTTATAGAAAGAAGGGAGGGCTGGGGATTTAGCTAAGTGGTGCTGCCACCTACCTCAAAAGCACAAGGTCCTGAGTTCGATCCCCGGTACCAAAAGAAAAAAAAAAAAGAGAAGGGAAATAAGATCTTTCTGATGCTTGGTATCATAATGCTGTTATAAATGAGCACCAGGGCAGTTCAAGCTGTCTTCTAAGGCCATCTTCAGAAATTCTTTGTTTGAAAGGAGACAGGAAAAGCTCCAACAGAAGTTTAGTCCTAGTCCGTTACTTTTAGACCTCTCAACTTCCCGACTGGGCAGGGAAACAAAGATTTTTAAGGACAGATGGTTCCCAAGAAATGGTAGAATGAATGTGCTACCTAGGAGGTTATGCCCAATGAACAGTGCACTGCAAGAAGCACTAATACATTTAGGGAGTTCAAAAGCTCAAGAAAACTTTTAGAAGGTAAAGTAATACTTCTAAAATAGTAACAACTGGGCCAGGGATGTAACTCACTGACACTGTACCTGCCTAGCAAGCACAAAGTCCTGAGTTCGATTCCTGGTACCCGCCCACCCCCCAAAATAGTAACAATCAAGTTATATTTGCCAATTTTTCTTTTCATAAAAATGAAAGTAAAATAAAGTGATTAATCTGGAATTGTTTGCATATAAGTAATGAATCTATATATAAGAAAAACATTTAAAAATATACAATAAAAATCTACAAGCAGAGATGAAAAGACACTCTTCACCTCTGAAGTTACCAACACGCACAATTCTTTTTTCCCCAGAACCAGAGATTGAACTCAGGAACTTGCGCTTGCCACGCAGATGCTGACACCACCAAGCTAAACCTCCAGCCCTCAATTATTAAGTGCAAAATTGTCACTGGTGCCAGGTTCACATCTTGCTCTTCCCAAGGGTTACATGATGAACAATAAACTTCCTAGAACTCCTGTGTGAGTCCATTGCAGAACTCACAGACAGAGAAAAGAGAAAGTCAACCTGCATGTGGGACATGTGCCCAACCGGACAGCAGTATGACAAAATACTGAATGAACACAGAGTATGTTTTCTGGTGTCAATGAAAGTTAGAAACAAACAGAAAATGTGAAATCCTCAAATACTGGAAGTAAAATAATAAAGTTACAGCAAGAAAAAAGTGGAAGAATTTCACTTATAATTCAAACACCTGAAATTCGCAAATATCATCACATCTTTTTTTTTTTTTTGGTTGAGACAGGGTCTCACTATGCAGTTGAGACTGACCTGGAATTCACTCCTCCTGCCTCAGCCTCCCGGGTACTGGGATAACAGGCGTGCAACACCACACACTCATCACGTCTTGTAGATGCTTCTGGGTAATGCAAACCATTGTCCTTGTATCTGTGTAATCAAACAGATTTTTCTCACTTGATTTCCCGTAGTGCACATTCTCAGGCCATCTGCACCTGCGCTGGAGTCCCCTCCGATGCTCTGGCACACCGTCCATCCGATGGTGCATTGCCATGTATAGAATTTGCAAACTCGATGGATTCTTAATGCATTCCTACTTTACACAGGGCCAAGAACACAAATATTAGGTATCCCTCATTGTGCCCTAAAGATAGAATGTAGAATCGGTGCGTGGAGACGGATCCATTTTGTAAATGTGATTCAGAAATTATCATCCAATTGCCTGTGTGCAAAGTCACAAGCAATGTGAACACTGCAGCACCACTGGTACCAGGCCTCTGCATGCTCAGCAATTCTGAAGTCAGGAGACAGCATACACAAATATTAGGTATCCCTCATTGTGCCCTAAAGATAGAATGTAGAATCGGTGCGTGGAGACGGATCCATTTTGTAAATGTGATTCAGAAATTATCATCCAATTGCCTGTGTGCAAAGTCACAAGCAATGTGAACACTGCAGCACCACTGGTACCAGGCCTCTGCATGCTCAGCAATTCTGAAGTCAGGAGACAGCATTTCACCTCCCTTTTCACTAAAATTTCTCAGCAGGGTCACTGATTTTTTTTTTTTTTTGTACCAGGGATCAAACTCAGGACCTTGCACTGACAAGGCAGGTGTGGTGCCATTGAGCTAATCCCTGGTCCTACTGAATAGTTTTTCCTCAGGACACTTGTGGATCTGCGAAAGAGCCCCTCACCAGTTTAAATCAGACTTTAGGGATAGGAGCAGCTCTCACTGGTGAAGCACTTTCCTAACACAGGAGAGGCTGTGTCTTGTTCCCCAGCACCAACAAACTAATACGTTGGAGTGCAGGATTATTTCCTTGTCAGTTAGCAAAAAATCTCTGTAAAATAATGCATTTTTCATCTCATATATAAATTGTAAATATCTTTGATACAGTGTCTTTTTTTTCAGTACTGGGGATCGATATGGTATCTTTTATTTGGTTAATTTTTTCTGTTATACAGGGATTAAAAATTTTTTTTAAGTGACCTCTGAAATGCTTCTTGTAAGCCTGCAGTGTGGCTACTGGTGGGGAGTGCGCTTAGCAGTCACCAGTCCCTGGCTTCAAACTCCAGAAACAAAACGAACACCCCCCCATCCCCGCGCGCGCGCAAAAATAATGACGAAAACTAATGCGGGGGGGGGGCGGGATTTGTGTTTTCTTAGTCATTTTTTTCTTTATTAGGTAAAAATGTTTATGCATATTCCTCTAAGAACTTACTTTTGTGATATAAAAATCTCGCTAGGTTTCTCCAAACAGCTGACAGGCATTTGATTTGTGAACAATTCATCTTTTCATATTCTATGAGCAGTTACTAGGCCCAACTTCTAAATTCTTACCAGGCTGGAGAGCTTCTGACAGTGTTCCGTGTGTGTGTGTGTGTGTGTGTGTGTGTGTGTGTGTGTGCGCGCGCACGTGCGCGTGTGTGACTGCGTCCATGGTTGGTGAACATTCATAGCAAGTTCTGATGCACAGTAGGGCAGCTCTTTAATACAGACATTTTCGTAGGGTAGTCACAAAAAAGCATGGGAAACAGAAATGTGGGCGCTGTGGTGTTCTATGGTTCTCTGGCTTTTGGCCACATGATTTAACACCATGGTTTTTAAGTGGGTACATGAAAAATAAAACGCTGTGCTTCTGTTATAAACCACTGCCAGGGGAAGCAGAGAGGGTGGGGACCAGCATCAATGTAATTTAATTCACATCAGCCTTTTAAAATGAACATTCCAGGGCCGGGGATTTAGCTCAGTGGCACTGTGCCTGCCTCTCACAAGCGCAAGGTCAAGAGTTCGATCCCCGATCCCCGATCTTCCATCCCCCGTACCAAAAAAAAAAACAACGTTCCTACCTCTCCTGATGCTGCCACCAAGGGCATCTAAATTCTCAATCCCTGCTTTCACCTCTGCGGGTCGCCTGGGATGGGATGAGACGGAGAAACTGGAGAGGCCGAGGGAAGCGGTGCCCTGAAGACCAAGCGCTGGAGACGCCCAGGAGAGCGGCAGAAGGGG